CACTGAAAGGCACTGTGTAAACTTCACACTTCTATATCCTGCTTTTAAGGAGTATTAGTCAAGCTGCTTCCAATATTTGGAGAAGGCACAAAGAAACACTAAGCCCTCTCTGTGCACCAGATTGGGTAGGATAAAAAGTGCTCTTAATCCTCCTTCACCTGCATGTTTTGTGTGCATCACCTGGATGCATCTGTGAGTCAAAATTGCTCTATGCCTCTTGGAATACCTTGCCTTTTTATAGGTCTTTTCAACACCTGGAAGAAGTCCAGTGGGAAGAAAGTGGGATCAAAAAGGTTGTGTTCTGGCATCAGTGAATACTTGAGAACAGACCTGGGTGTATCTATGTATTTGGGAGCATAATGGAAAACTATTTAACTGCCGAATTCCCATACAATACCTGAGAGGTGAGAATGTGAGCCTTAGCTAGATTTCTAAATGCAGTTTAAAGGAGCCAACTCAAAAAGATAGAGTATGTGAATTAGATAACACTTCTTACGATTGCAGAAAGCATTTCTGCAATCATGGAAAAAAGTTTTAAATTACTCCAAACTTCAAACACTGTATAACCATGCCACCTCTGCTACACTTTCCTGAGTTGTCAGTAATTTTGCCAGATGGTTTAGGTGTCTGGTAATGAGAGCTTATCCTTAATGATGGAATCTCCTCTGGGGAAGAGGAGGACGATACATGAAGCTTATACATCACTTACTCTGTTATAAAGTGAAAATAGCGCTGCGCTCATTGTAGGATATGAATTTCATCCATACCACTTCAGAATTTACCTTGGATTTCTCTGGATTCCTTCTGCTAGATAATTTGAACACTTGCAATGGATAAGTTAATAACCAGGTCTGCATCAGGCAGAATATCTAGGTGGTGAACTATATAAGCCTGTGCTCACTAAACACAGACAGTGCTAAATAATTTTAAGTCAGGTTGATTTTGAAGAAAAACTGTGTTCAGAGTCTTGATTTTTATCTGAAAGCTATGAATTTTAATCATACTGGATGGAAAAAGAAGGGAATTGGTAACCTTCAGCTTCTTTTCCTTTTCTTGCACTGAGATCTAGTAGCCTATGCTTTAAGTGTGGTGTTTCTCATGCATTAGAGAACTTGAGGAATTCACAGAAGCTTTTTTCCATGTTGTGCTGCACATATAAATTAACCACAGTTTCAGATATAATTATAAAGTTTTGTTATCAGGTGGAAATTAATAAAAAGAACAGACTTTTTTTTGCATTAAATCAAATTTCAATTGGGAGTTATCGTCTATGAATATGAAAATAATGTATATTTGTGTGTATTAAAGTTTGAGTTATAGTAAAAAAATCTAGCAAAACTTTATTATACAGAATTTTGTTTGTTCTCTCCAAACCAGCCATGGTGCTTTAGAGCCATGTCACAAGATGTCCAAACCAAGGAGCTAATATTGCTCCCTGTGGTGTTACAACAGGTCATGCTGTAGTAGCAGCATAGCAAGATTAAAGAAAAAAACGAGTTTCAGGAAGCTGTTTTACTGCATGTTTCACAGATAGCAGTCTGTGAAGGGGCAACTCTTGAAGTGATAACAGCTCTGTGTAGAGCCCTGGTCTTTGCTTCGATGGTTTTGTAGTACTATGGTACATGGAAGCCCTAACTGTGACACAGAACCCTACTGCACAATGTATAGTATGGATGCATTGTTTACCAAAAAAGTTTTGGGAAAGACAAAACGATTCCTGTGTGGTGGGTGTGTGTGTTTGTGGGGTGTGTGTTTTTTAGAATCTAAAGAATTCAGGTGATGTGTGCCGTAAAGATGTTTTTGGTGTCGTTTGACACTTGACTGTTTGGTCTGCTGTCAGTTATAGAAAGTGCTTTAGGTGATAGCTTCTTAGTCCCCAAGCAGCACATTACAGATGGGAACTAATATAGCCAACCATACCTTACAGCCACCTCTTAATTTTAGTGTTTCTTCTTTGGACCAGTATGTGGTTCTAGAAGGGGAGCCAGAAGTAGAACAGCTGTCTGGAGCATACTGAGAATTTACTATGGCTACTAATGCTCTGTTCCAGGCTGTGATCCTGATCCAGAGAGGAAAATTGGAGTAGGATGGGATGGCAGATGAAGGGGGATTGGCACTTCATGAAGTTCAATTTTTGAGGGGGGAGAGGACAGGGAGGTAAGTGAGAATAGGGTGGGGTGCTCAAACTGCTGTCCTGTCATCAGGCTGATGCTTTCTTACCCGAAAAGAAAGAGTTGTCAGGCTGTCCCGACAAATACAGCAGGATTTGGAATGTCCTGATTTGTGCATTAAAAAAATAATCCTTTCACGTGCTCCCATAGAAGTCCAGAGAACACTGAGGTATAAGCTTCTAATGCTGACACCATTTGCATGATGAGAAGGCTTTTTGTTGCAAGTGCCCTGTTGGGATGGCTGTCACTTTTGTTTGATTGTTGCATACAGTATCTGTAGGAAACTATTTCCTTATTAGAAACCAATGCTCTTCCTGATGTGCTCTACTTCAGCAGTCCTTTTTGTACAGCAGGGCATTTTTGAAGGTGCTTTGCATGTGTATTTTTTTTGACCAAGTAGCTCAGGGAAGATGGTCATGTTTTCTAAGCAGAGCAAAAGATTTGACTGTGCTTAACAGGGCAGAGACCAATGTAGGGATCAATGGCACAGAGAGGGGGTGCAGATTGGTAAGCTTGACTGTTGGCCAAAATGAGAACACAAGGAGTATGCAGAGGTGTGTGCTGGAGGTGGGTCTTGATGATGGAATAACGTTGGGTGGACCAGTAGGGCATTGGGGTGGGAGTGAGATCTGTGTGCAGCTAATGATTAGGAATATGGACAGATATGGTGGGCCAGAGAGACCGGGACCTTGGGGCTTGTGCTGAACTGGTGACGTAGCTTTGGATCCATAGGTGGATTGTGCTGTGGATCCAAGTTTGATACTACTGAAGAACCGCTGTGCTGCAGTGTGACTTGGCCAATTCAAGGACGGTGGCTGTCAGATGAGATTGGAGTGGGAAGGCTAAGTGGTGGCAGAAGTGTGCAGCATGGCTGACATTGTGGGGTATAGTGTGTGTGTGGGGTCACTGGAGGGGTTGGACAGTTGGGGGATATAAGTCCTCCTGTAGGAGGAGACAGGGCAGGTAGACTGGCATATAGGGAGGGTGAATGTATGTGGATTGGGGGGTGTGTGTGGATATAATGGAATGCTTAGTCCTTAAACAGTGAGATTTTTAGTGTACTCTCATCATTCTTCTAATGCTATAAACTTTCATAGCTTCTACCAGCCTCCCTACTCTTAGGCCTTAGCCTGAATCCCCATAAACTCCCTGTTCAGTGACAGGGGCAGCTCAGGGTTGACAGGTGGTTTCAGAGAATGCGTACCTGATGTGAGATGTTTCTGGTTTTACTGTCCCTCTCTAGCCCTTTCTCTCTCCCCACCCTATCCCCACTGATGTTGCCTTGTCTTTCCTTGTCCTCTTGTCATAAGCAGTCAGCCTATTTATTGCATGGGCACCTCCTCGCATAAACTAGCCTGGTATCCATATCCTTAAATCACATATTACTTTCATAAGGCAAAGAATATGGAAGAGCAAGAGTAAAAACATAAACCAACTAACTGGAAAACCTTTTAACATTAAAAAAC